AGAGAGAGAGAGAAGAGAGAGAGAGAGAGAGAGAGAGAGAGGGAAAGAGAGATGGGAAACATTCCAAACAGAGTGCTTCGCCGTTTAGCGCTTAACAGTTTTTTTTTTCTCTTTTAGCTAGTTCCAAGCTAAATTGGATCGATATTCACTTGGAATGAAGATAAAAAATCTTATCATGCTAAATGATGTGTAAGCGCAAATTACGAAATATCACTTTGGCTTTACAAATAAATTTCTTAGTTAATTAGCCCTCATTAGAATACAATTATGCTAAATTGTCCTTTCAATTAATATATTTCACAAATTAATTATCTAGCCAATTTCTCCTTCCTTATCATTGTCCCTAATATTCTATTGATTTCTTTATACATCTCAAAAATTTTTTTTCATATATTTTAAATCTTTTTTTCCCAACAAGCAAATGACAATTGCGCATAATTTATCATTTGTTCTTCCTTTTGCGCTCTTTTGTCTTTTCCCCTTTTTCTATTGCAAAAATGAAACGACATTAATAACAAAAAGAAAGCATTTTCAGCTAATCTGTAAATCCAAGATGAAACGTTACTATCCCGCCCGCACTAATCGGTCTCCCGAGATGTACTGCTTTGCAAAGACAATTAATTCGTATAGATTTGAGTAAACTTATGGAATTTTCGAGAAAAGTATGAGTTATCTCAGCTGTGAAATGCAAAAATCTTTACAGGACAGAATTTTTGAGATTTCAAAATGGAATGAAATACTCGCATATCATTCTTAGATAATAGTAAATTGAAAGCGATAAAAGCACATCTGATAAACAAATTTGGAAAAGTAATTAATATTTATGTCTCTAAGCATTAAGTATTATGCAGAAGATGAGGGAAAATCTTGATGTCAATATGATGTTATGCAAAAGATGCATCAATATGATGTAACGCAAAGATGCGGCGCCAAAATCTCAATGTTATTGCTCAACTAATTCAAGGCGAATCTTGATGTCATCATTCAGCTAATTCACGGCGAACCTTGATGTTGTCATTCAGCTAATTCACGGCGAACCTTGATGTTGTCATTCAATTGATTCACGACAGACCTTTATGTCATCATTCAGGTAATTCACGGCGAATCTTGATGTCATCATTCAGCTTATCTGCGACGAATTCTTCTCTCAAATTCTTCCTTCCGCTCCGCGACAATTTAATGCTTATACGCTATGCCTCAAACTACAAATGTATGCTATCTTTCGGTATTCTACATCAATGGACCATCAAATAAAGAATGTGTTGATATCAATGAAGTCTACGCTTTTTTTTAAAAAAATTATTCAGAAAACAAACAAAATGAATGAAATGAAATGAAACAATCAAAAGAGAAATATTTCAACTGCTCATTGAAATCAAACGAATCATGTGACCGATCGATATTTGTATTTTTCGAAAGGTTTCAAAAAGATCAAACCATTAATGTGTCGTGTTAAATTGCAAAAAAAAAAAAGAAAAAAATTCGCCGACGTTTGGTTAAACGTTGAATTTAAAAAAGAAAAAAGAAATTTTGATTTGGGAATTTGGAAAAGTGAAAAAAATAAAATTCCCTAGTGTAGAAATAATTTCATTTCCTTCCCATACTTTCTCTTTCATTTAAATACATTTTAAATATGTGACTCAAACTAGGCTTCAAAGAAAAAAAAAAGTACATTTTTTTTTCTTTCTTAAAGCCCACAAATAATGCTGTCACACTGTCATTGTTGCGATTGAAAAAGGACAAATTAAGCCAAGCACAAATTTCAATTAGTTTTTTAATTTGCTAAAGGAAAGAAAAAACTTCAACAATATTCAAAATACTATTTTAATTTATCTCAATTTCATTCTGATATCAATGTAAAATAGCTGTAAAGTATAAAAGTTTTTTTTTTTTTTTGCATTTCTGCAGAAGTTGAAAGGAAATTGTTGTTTGAACTGAGGGAAATGTGCATTTCCTAAAAATTGACAAATGAAAAACTTTGAATTTCTCGTAAATGGAAGTCCAAAAAACTTTTTCTTCATCATGTAAACTAATTTGTTAACATCATTCACAAGTATAATAAAAAAAGAAAATTATCATAGGATTTTAGAAAGATAGAAAAATTATGGTAAGCTATTTAAATTTAAAATAATCAATTTAAATCTGTAAAGCTATAAATGATTAATAATGTCTGATAGGAAATGCATAATGAATTTCAGGTATGTTTTCGGACCCTTCAAGCCTTAAGGTACTGAAATCCATATCACTGATTACAGCATTCGATTTGTGAAGAGCCTATCGATTAAAAAAATGCAAAACTTTCAAAAAATTAAATTCACAAAATTTATATTACACTTTTTTTACTAAATCTGCATTTTAAGCCATCACAACAAATTCGAATTTCCATATTAAATATATGCGCAGCGGAAATGTCGTTAGGCCTAACTACGATGACTTTAATGGAAGTGTATAGGGCCGAGAAACACCATCAAATTATTATTTTTTGAAATCAGATATCCTCATCAATTGTTGTGCGAGATGTTATCAAGTATATTAATCAATGAATAATTATCACAGGTAATAACGGGAAAACAAACTTTTGTAATCTGACCAGTAGCAATTGATAAAAAATTCTTGGAAAACAACCAATTTAGAAATTTCAAATGATTAGCCCGAAATCATTCCGGAAAATGTTAAATGATAATCAGGATTTGGAACAGTTAAAAGATAAGCACAACAAGAAATAAATGACTTGCTTAAC